GAGCGATTGCTTTTGCAGCTTTTTCAGCTAACTCCACACTTGCATCATGGATCCCTTTCTCAAATTCCTGTGTGTAATCATAATCGAGCGGCAACAAATCTGACATTTTCCCTACAATTACAATATAACACATCAATATTCCTGTGAACCTAACGCTAATTTCAACTCCTAAATCTAAATTCAACCTCTAAATTCAACTAATTAACTCTAAATTCAACTCTTAAACGCTAATTTCAATTCCTAAAAGCTAAATTCAAATCTTAAACGCTAAATTCAACTCCTAAACGCAAATTTCCAAATGCAGTTGACGGACCAAAAGATTCCGGCGGCCGGCACCAGGTCGGGCCAACGGAGAACGGCGGTCGGCGCCAGGTCGGGCCGAAAGATTTCTTCGGCTCGGCCTGGCGACGAAGGTCGTTCTCCGTCGCCTCGGCCTGGTTCCGGTCGCCGGAATCCTTCGGCTCGACCAATTTCCGGTCGCCGGAATCTTTGGCCCGCTGTCTGTGCCCTGAAAATCGCCGGAAAAATTGTTCGAAACTTGAAAAAATTGATGAACCTGCTTAGTGATGATTCATGGATGCGTGTTCATCGATGTTCGGCTTTTCCGATGATTTTTCGACGAGCGTCTGATTTTTTTTTTCAATACGATTTGTGAGAGTTGGATAAGTTGTAAGGAAGTAAAAGTTCTTTACCAAGATGTATGTATAACTGATTTTGAATTAAAATTTTTTTTGCTGACGACAAATAGCAATTTAGTTGGCGACAAATAACATGTCCCATCTATTGACTGTCGCGTTTTACTTTTCAAGCAGTTGTAATCTACTGCCTATTAGTATCTAACGGGGGAAGAACAAGGCCCATCATGCCCATGACATGAGGGTAGCCCAGTTGTCGCGTGCAACCATCTCACCACCGTGATCAGGACAAGAATAGGTCACACCGCTTGCCGAAATATAAGGATAAGATCAAGCCACAACGTCACACCACTAGCCTTTGGGGAATGAATAAGCAACTAAATCCAACCATGTCCCTCGTTTAGTTGAACTCAAATTAGGTTCTTTATACTGGGTAACCTTTGGCCGAAGGCAGAATTTAGGATTTTTGGATTAAGCAGAAAGCTCGCTCCTGCACCATATAGGTTAAGGAATCCAAGCACTTTACTGATATCGATAATCAACAGTATAGTGTATTTATATATAGAGTATGGTGGCTTTGTTGGCTCCTGCAATTAGTGGCGGCGCCACAGCAGTCCAAGATGGGTCAGCTGCACCACCTTGGATTTAACTGTGATGCTGGAACCACGTAAAAATTCTTGATGTTTTGGTGCTGCTTTCATTTGTAATTTCTTTGTTATTTTTCCAGAAATAGCACTATTTAATTTTTTTTTTCCAAAAATAGCACCCAACTCCGAAAAATTTCAAAAATAGCACCCTTTTTGCAAAACCGCCACCCGTACAACCGGTTTAGGCGAAAACCGCCACCCGGGGCGCGCTTTTCGATGAAAACCGCACTGGTAGGGGGCGGTTTTGCAGACCGCACCCCCACCATGCGGTTTGGTTGCAGACCGCACCCCCACGATGCGGTTTGTTTGCAGACCGCACCCTCACGATGCGTTCTGCTTTTTTTTTTTTTTTTTGGAAAAATCCTAACCTAGGTGGAAACTTCAAACGAACGTATCTTTATGTTCGGGTATCCGATCGTCGCGAATTTTTTTTTATTCCGCATAACTTTTTGAGATCTTGCAAGCTGAAGACTGCCAAAGGTGGTTTGGTCCCGCCTTCGTCCCAAAAAAATATCGTTTGCTACCCCGAACGAGCTTTTTTCCGATTTCGTCAAACTTTGGACAACCGTAACTTTGTGCTCCAAAATCCAAACGCCATGAATTTTTTTTTATTTCGCATAACTTTTTAAGGACTACAATTTTTACTAGGAATGAATTTTCAAAACATGAATTTTTTTTGGATATACAGGATTTTGGGAATAGCTTATCTTCCCTTCTCAGCAATCCACGTACATTTTGAAATTATATCTATGATAAAAGTTGTATTCCTTAAAAATTTATGCGAAATAAAATTTTTTTCATGTCGTTTGGATTTTGGAGCACAAAGTTATGGTTGTCCAAAGTTTAACGAAATCGGAAAAAAGTTCGTTCGGGGTAGTAAACGACATTTTTTGGGACGAAGGCGGGACCAAACCACCTTTGGCAGTCTTCGGCTTGGAAGATCTCAAAAAGTTATGCAGAATAAATAAAAAATCGCGGCGATCGGATACCCGAACATAAAGATACGTTCGTTTGAAGTTTCCACCTAGGTTAGGATTTTTCAAAAAAAAAAAAAAAAAAACAGACCGCATCGTGGGGGTGTGGTCTGCAAACAAACCGCATCGTGGGGGTGCGGTCTGCAAAACCGCCCCCTACCAGTGCGGTTTTCATCGAAAAGCGCGCCCCCGGGTGGCGGTTTTCAACGAAAAAAGCGCCTCCAGGTGGCGGTTTTACAAAAAAAGGTGCTATTTTTGGAATTTTTCGGAGTTGGGTGCTATTTTTAGCTCTTTTTTTTAAACAGTGCTACTTTTGGAAAAATCTTGGGAATTTTGGTCTCTATTCTTTGTGTTCTTCCAATCAACGGTATCATTTATAGCTGAAAAGTAAAACTGCAATCCCCATTCAAATTTTCCTTCCCATAGAGTGATTTTAGGAGTCTGACGTGGCAGGGTGTTTACGCGGGATTAAATTAGAAAATCCCCGCTTCAAGGAGAGATAAGAAACCGTCGGTTCCCACTACTTTTTTGCGGCTGAAATCACCTTCCATTTTCTTCTGGGTTATCTATGTTTTGCTTTCTCCTTCCCGCAGCACGGTAAGAGTCCATTTGTCAGCGGACAATTTTGGGAACAGGGACTGGCGCTTGGTGCTGATCGGAGGAAGGTGAGATTTGGTAGTTATGCGGTGAACGATTCTGCAGACAACCGCCAATTCGAAGGGGAGGCGAGATTGTTTCGGTTTGTTTGCTCCCGCTGCTTCTCTCAATCTGGATTAGGTAGTTATGCGTTGAACCCTTGCCAGCCAACCGGCAATTTGAAGTCGAGCCCAGCGGGGAAAGCAGGATGGGCCGGTGAAGCGAGAAGGGAGACGGAGAGGCGACGCCAGAAGGGGTTTCCCTGTTTCCGTTCGCTTCTGTGACCGACAATCAGCAAAGAAATTGGCGGATGTCAAGATGGTGATAACGACTGGGATGGCGAGGTAAGGAAGCTTAAAATCAACGGTAGCGGGGGAGAACAGAGTAGCAAGGAAACAGATCCGGTTGGCGACCGACGGTAAACTGATTTCTAGGAACAGGGTCGCCGACCTCGAGTACTGCCGTCGGCAAAGGAAACTCGGCTATCAGGCATGTTATCCTCCTTTGTTACCTTTGTTGTTATTCTGCTGTTTTCTTATGAATGAATTGGCTGGCTGGCCTTGGATGGGTTTTGTGTTCAATTAGCTGCATTGTCTCGCCATCGGGAACCATCTTGTCTGAACCTGATCATGAAGGAGAGTGTCTAATATCAGCTGACATTGGTTATGAATAACAACACAATTCATTCTCTCTCTCACACACACACACACATATATACACACATTCGCAGTTCCTCGGAGAGAAAGTATTCTTTAGTACAAGTCAGTCAGTTATCTATCTTCCACTTCTAATCTTTCTTGATGACTACAGACGAGAGTTTTTATTTTTGTTGTAGCTTGCCCAATATCCAAATTTGTTGAACTACCTTAAGCTTGAACTGCCTTTCCAAGTTGTCAAAATTTGTGTCTTTGATGTGGGTTGTGGTTGGAATTTGGGTTTTCTTTCATTCCAGGAGTGAGCTCAGTTCTCTGGACCCTTTCCTGATGATGGATGAATTTTCAGGTTTGTTTCAGTTTTCGGTTGTTCATTGCATTAGGAATGATAAACATGCTTTCTTTCTCTTCTCAATGGGATACTTTCTTTCCTGATGTTGGATGCATATGTGGTAGACCTTTTAGCTTTGATGCATTCTCGAAGAAGTGGAACTACAGTCAGAACAAGAGCTTCAAATCGTGAAATACAGTCTCAGGTACGTACGTATCACTTTGTTTGCAAGTGCTTTGTGTAATCCACTGATCGAGATGAATGCATAATGAAATATACCATTCACACCTCCTTTGCATCAATTACTTTCAGACAGGAAATTCATACCCCAGTCAGTTAGCATCGGGTGGAAATGAATGCATAATCAAATCTCCCATTGACACCCCTTTGTGATCACAAACTTCTTCCAAACCAACACAATGAATTTACCTTCAATTGACAAAGCAACTTTTTATAAGCATACTTCCATTGCTCCTTCTCCAGTTGATCCATTTGGTAAATCAAAGTTGACTGGAGATAAATTCTCATTATTTATCTCCAAAAATTAAATAATGAGAATTTATCTCCAGTCAACTTTGATTTGCTGGTTGAGAAGTGAAAAAATTAGAGTTAGCATTAATATATACGTGGTGTTTAAATGGAGTTGGGCATTTATATAGAATGCTCTGTCAATTGCAGAATAATTTGTTTGTATTACCTTGAACCCTTTTGTTCGCAGTACAATAAGAGAGGACTAGAAGAAAACAAAACCCTCCCACCTTAATGAGATAAGGTAGAACTCCCACGTACTGAATCAAATTAACTTTAATTATAGTCCTCTGGCCCATCCTTACATGGATCAATTTAAAAAACAAGCCATTCACTTTAACTATCCCCGTAATGATTCCGGGTTTGGCAAGAGTGTGGTGACCATTGTAATTTAACAGACCGAAGCTGGAAATGGGATCACTTGCAGATTGTGTTGGTTGCAAACTATGTTCCTGCTCTGAATGATCCAATTTTAATTGGAAGCGTTTTGTTTAGTTGTTCAGTAGCCAGTCTATCATTTAGGATGTTTGCCATTGTTATGGCATTGTGACATTCTTAGAAGAGCTGCTGAAGCTGGAGGGCTGCTTCCAAATGCAATGATCACCAACTCAGATGGTTTCGAAGAGAATTCGTTATCACTCCCGGTAAGAGTTGTTGCGAATGGCTGTGGAATTCCATGCATTGACTTGAGGCAGGTCAGCTCTGAGCTTTCTACTGCAATGGAGGCTGATCTGGTAATGGTGACTGAGTCCGTCGTAGAATTGTGTGCGTGTTTGTATTCATAATAACTAAAGTCACTCAAGACAGAAGGGACACAAGGTTAACCATTCAAGCTAAATGTTGCATGCGTCAAGAGCAATGGGGAACGACTCAAACAACTCTTACAACTTTGAAGCAATCAAGAGCAGACTTCACTTGGTCTTCGAAAATTTATGGTTCCTTTCTTTCCAGACGCTCCAGCAAAACGGATGAAGGAACACAAAGGTGGATGAAGCTTTCGAGTCCTTTGCCTTCAAATGAGATCACGATGAGATGATATATGATTACTTCTTTGTATTTTCTAATTACAATGCTTCTTCTAATTAGTTTTGTAACCACCAGTTGTGGAATACATATTTAAGCATTGACCTCACCAGTATTAGAGATACCAGTAAGAATTATTGGCAAAGTCACCTAGAACTTTTTATGAATAATTAGACTATTTAGTATAACCTCATAACTCAAAATAAGAGTAACGGGATGTATGATACCTTTTTTTAAGTGTGATGAGAAATGATTGAAAATGAAAAAGAAACAAAGATTAATGCGACCGGAGTTGGATTAACTATATAAGTGGAGTATAGATCAGACACTTGATATGTTAAATTTGCTAAATCTCATATAGTGATATGAATTTTTATAAATTCATGCTCAAGCAGTTTTGGACAAAAACTTCACTGATGCTACATAATTGGTATACATTTTTAGTATCTTCAAATGGCAGAATTTGACATATCTCGGAGGTAGTATTTGAATACCAAATGAAACACCAAAATCAATGATCCATATGCCCCATATCTCTTTTTAAATATTCATTTGGTTTTCTAATGGGTTAATTTCATTATTGGTAACTTGGTTTACTAAAAAGGTTCACGTTTGGTCACTAAAAATATTTAATTTCATTAGTAGTCACTAAAATTACTTAAACATTTCAAGTTTGATCACTCTCCGTCCAACTCTGTTAAATTTATCTGATGTGGCAGTCAACTATTAGAATTGATCATTAAGTGCGTGATCTGGCAATTAAAAAAAATAATTTTTTTTTTGTTATTTGACAATTATAATAGCCTTGAACTCTTCTCATATACTAATGTAAGCTCTTAATAACAGTTTTAACTACTTTACGAGATATATGTGTTATTAATGAATTAATATTGAGTAATTTATTTTCTTAACTATTATTTTTATTGTTGATTGTTAACCATAAAGTTTGAAAAAAAATATGTGATGAATTTTATCCTTTTGTATTATGATGGCCTTGAACTCTTCTCATATGCTAATGTAAGCTCTTAACAACCACTACTATTTTATGTGGTATATGTGCTATTTATGAATTAATATTGAGTAATTTACTTTCTTTAACTATTACTTTTTTGTTGATTGTTGACCATAAAGTTCGAACCAACTATGTAATGAATTTTATCCTTTCGTATTATCAATATTCAATAGGACAATCCCTTTGAATTTCTAATTACTATTTTACTTATAATTGTCTAACATTCTTTTGGATTTAATAGAAAAATAAGTTAATAATATCGAATCTTATTAAATATTTAAATAATTAATGCTACGAGTAAGAAGTACACAGAATTCTTATGAAATGTATAAATATATAAACAAAAGTAACCTACGATAATATGATTATTAAAACTCCCTATGAACTAATTATCAGTAATGTCATAATAACAAATAAAAATTTACTTTCAAATTATCAATAAATCATTTAAAATTTTCAAATTTGTGTACAAGCAATCGATAAGCATAAGATTATAACAAATAAATGAAATTTATCCAATCAACAGGTCAATGAAAATAATTGATTCCTCCATTTGATATCTAACAAAAGAGAAAAAGAGGCTAGAAATGTATACAGATAAGTAAAAATACATATGAACTAATTACACGTAATATCATTAACAACGAGTATCACAAATATTGCTTTCAATTGTGGGGAGACAAAACATTTAAATAGTTTAAAATATAAATATTGATAACCATAAATGTACCAAATAAAATGAAATTGATCCGACCAACGGGTCGGGTAAAAGCTAGTACTAACCTACAGGGGAAAGGCTTTGATCGAGAAATACATCATCTCCACGCAAAACTTGTGTTCTTAGTTAAACGACAGTGTTCTGTTTAGCTGGGCACTTGACTTGAGTCATTATTTTGATAGTTTGTTTGTAGGCTTTTGGGTGAGGATGATTTGGGCTTTGCTTGATTGTTATGTGAACTAACATTACAATTTGGGCTTTGTTTGTTTAACTTTAGCTAGATTAAGAGTTCAATTCACTTTGGCATGATTTGAAAAATGAAGGTTTTAATAAAATTTGGATTTTGTCAAACTATGGATATATGAGGGTTTTGGGTTCATCATAAACTTGAAAAATATCATTATTTGTTTTATAGATTTCATGATGACATTGGTTAATTAGATTTGTATGTATGAAGTGAAATTTACCTTTATTATTGCCCTCATTGTATGAGAAGAGAAATGAAATAGGAGAGGTAGTTTGGTCTTAAATTATGGACTTCAAAGTTCATGATCAATTCCCACCTAAATAGGTGGAACTTGCATGTCTGTGGAGTCCACGGATTTTGGACCCTTAAAGTTCGTGGGACCAACGGATTTGTTGCCCCTAAAAGCATAAAGCAAACAATGAATTTTGGACAAAGTACATAATAGATCCAAATCTCTCACCAAATCCATCAGGCAAACAAACCCTTACTTCTACGGGTTACCAAACAACATTTTATTATTATTTGGCACACAGAGTGATATCAGTTCAAAGAGCAAAATGCCAAAATCCACCGATTGAAGATCGAAGAACATTATTCTAAAGAGAAAAGCTAGCTAAATCATGAATTATTGTTTCGAGTTATTGATACTAAATAGTTCATGACAAAGAACAACATTCGAAAAAGAACAACTAACTAATTAATTAATGATTAATAAAGTTAACAAAAACTATTTTATCATTTTTAATCTTCTAAGTCGACCCACTTTAGACAAAAACTAGAGTATTGTCACAAATGAGTTGATGAACCAGACTCAAGTAAATCACGTAAACTTTCTTTCAAAAAAAAAAAAAAAAAACGTAAACTCATTAGGTAGAACTCAGCTAGTGAAGGTTGGGTTCTATCAGCGATTAGCACTGACAGGCCCCCAAGAATATTGATAGTTAATCTTTCTCCTTTGTCAGCAAAACTACACAACACCACTAGGACATGCATATCCCAACACTTGCATTCCATCCATAATTATAATACACACATTACAAACAGCTAATTACCATTTCTTGCAAAGACAAATAGAAGACTTAAGGCTAAAGCTAACACTCACTTATTTACCGAACAATAAGCTAGGATGACATGCTGACACACAATTGTATAGACATGACATCATCCTCCTTTCTTCAGTACAGCACAACAGCCATCAAGCGGACTGTGAAAGAAAAAAAAAACGAGTTGAGTGATATCCTATCACGGTGGTGCCATGAGCATGGAACTACCGAACGGGTGAACTACAGATGAAACAGGGTGTCAGAAGGGTATTTGCAGCATAACCACAGCCTTATCCACAGCTAACTGGAACTTCACATATCCATGTCATCAAATATTTCTCCATCTTCCTCGTTACTTAAGTTATCTATGCCCATCAAGTTACTGCACAAACCAACAGTATATGAGACAAATATGAGATCACTGGATATTGCAGGAAGAAACTGAAAGGGCAGCTCACGAGATTTACCTTACACAGCAGAAACAGAAGGTCACAACCCGCTTTAGCTTTCTATTGTAGAAGAAGAAGCTGAAAGACCAGCTAAATACAACATATACAATCAAGTTACTAAGTTAGGCATCATGTTCTAGCAAGAAATAACCCAGTAAAGTATAGGGAAGGAAACAGGTACTGACATTGCACCCTTCTCTAGAAACGGGTCTGCATCAGAGTCTGGGTCATAACTGTAGATTTCACACTCAGGTAGATTTACAACCTGCATCACCAACCATGTATCAGAAATTTCTCTTGGGATGGCCTACCACATCCCTTCTTCCAAACAAGTGGAAAAGTTCTTACCTCGTCTAGAGCTCTGTATAATGCTTCTAGCAAGGAAGTGTCCCCATTTTCCTCCACCCATTCCTAGGCAAATGAAAACAATCATTGGATAGAAAGAAAGAAACTATACATTCCCTACCATCCACACAACACAGGAAGAATAATAGACCAACAGACATAGCAAAAAAGACATGCAAGCAAGAGAGTCTCCAGTCAAAGTAAGAAACTGATACGTCGTTTTCCAAATGAACTGTAGTCCAAACCAACCTAATTTTAAGGAAACAATTGCGGGTAACATATACATAATATAAGTGCGAGAATAATGGAAGCTTTACTGTGACGGTGTGGTCGAGGACAATACAATAAAATCGAAACAGAAAAGCACATGACTCCTGTATTGAGATATGGGTAGGCAATTTCTATGTAAGATAGTGAAGGCAGCCATACATATCCATTCTGCACTCAATCAAGTGTACGTCACTTAAAACAGCAGAAGTCGAACATAATAAGCTACTACCTTTGATGCTCCAATCATGTAGTTATCAAAAATCTGCTTAAAAGTCTCCCAAGTTTCCTCTGTGAAGAACTGATGAGCTTTCATGGCACTGTGTAGCAAAGTACAAAAGATCCAATAAAATCGAGAATAGCACAATGACAAGATGATATTTCCTCCCGTGCCCAAATCTTAATCATGCAAATGTCGAACAACACAAGAAAACAAATATAAATAAGAAACTGCGGAGTTAGACTTGGGAAATGGAGAGACTTGAACTCTCAGCTCATCCTAGAGCAACAGCCAAATTGAACTGTCTGTCATGCCATTTGACAACACTCCCAATGCAAATGAAAAGAAGATTATAAAGCGGGTTACCATGTCGCCCAAAAAGCTGACAGTGGCATTACCATAATCCTCTTTTTATCATCAAGTGGAAACTGCATATAGGATGAGGAGTAAAGTACAGAGTTACCTGAAGTCACAGTCTGGATACATGCGAGAGAGTGTCAGAACAAGGTAAATCAAAGTCTTCCGGCTGAAACAGCAATAATAGATGACCAGTAAACATAACAAGAACTCATACTCTGTAAACCAAATCTATGTAGCATTCACCACCTGGATCTGCTCAAAAGGTATTCAGCAGGCGATAACGAATCTGTATCTGAAGACTTCCCAAGATAATCAAGGATCTGAAACAAGAAAATGTAGAAGTATCTTTTAAGGCTAATGGTATTACCACTTGACCAAGCCCTTGTTCGTGGCAGAGACCAGACACTTTCACGTCATAATTTCTAAGGAAACCTACATACACCATATCAGTGCATACTTTATTGGGATTTTTAAATGCTTTCCTTGTAGATATCAGACACAGACCATATTTGCTCCAAGTACATAAATAGAGCCCTTAAAACTGTAAAACAAAGAAGAAAAACCTACTCAATACAATTTGCTCCTATGGTTATCGCAATTCATTCAGAGAACAGGACATGACCCATGTCCTAGAATGAATCCTAATCACAGCAATCAAGCATCTTTTTTCATGATTCCTACACCTACCAGTATTGTCTTCAAAAAGATTCGCAATAAAGAGAAAACTACCTCATTCTCCAAACTGAGAGAAAGCTTTTTGTCAGATCCAGCGTGCTTGCCTTGAGAAAACACCAGAAACCAAGGTATACATAATATCACTCTTGGATGAGAACAGAAGTGGAAGACGGTTCAATATGAAACATGACGTGTGAGGGCAAAGAACTTACAAGAGTAGGCCTCAAGGGACCCTTTGATGGTGCACTCTCCAAGATTCAAATGGTGCAGAAAACCATTTATCCTGCAATCCACCAGCCAGCAAAAGACACCCCATTTCATTTTCACATCAAAGAGCAGAAGAAACATAACGAGAGATGGAAGCCCATCCCTACTACGATTACAAATTCAAAGAAAGTAAGTGTCCCAGCATTTATATTTACCGTTCAAGCGGAGTGTACTCTAAGAACTTCATGATTTCACTTCCAACAAGTTTCTGCAAACATTTCAAGGATTACCTACACTAACTTACATCAACAGCTCCAGCGGGGACGAAATAGAGCGACAAATTTCCCCCAAAATCGAATTTGAAATTGGTCCAAGAAACAGGGACGGGTCAAGCAGATCCACATCTTCGAGGAAATTCCGAGTTAAATTCAGACAAGTGAGAGATAAGCGTACCTTCGCCACGAATTGACAGAGCGATCTTAGAGAAATTGCAGCAGAATCAGAGAAGGGATTTGACGAAAGCGGTTGGATAGAAATTCGAGGTTTGGGATCGGGGGGAAAACTAAAATAAAATCTCCTAATAAAAAGAAAACAATTCGAATATTCGATGCATTTGGGTAATTAATCAAAATGGTCACATAGGTTTGGATCAGTAACAAAATAGTCACAAATGTTTAAAACGTAACAAAAAGGCCATTTATCTCTTTTTAGTCATGTTTTCATCCAAAATAATTGATTAATTTGATGACAACAGTGCAAATTGATAACAAAATATCAACCACCTAACCAACTTGTGAAATTGCTTCTTATTTAGAGCAAGCAAACTGGCTATGGAAATACATGGAATGGTTGTTTTGTTACAACATGATACTTGCATGACCTTTTTGTTACGTTTTAAGTGTTTGTGACCATTTTGTTACTTGGTCTAACTTGTGTGACCATTTTGATCAATTACCCATTTGGGGATGTCCCATCGGAAATCGGATACGAGTAAGGTGGAAATTGGTTCGGTAATGGTATCTCGTTATCAAATATTAATGTTTTTTAGCAAAATCAAATATTAAAATTTTGAGTATCTAATCACCTTAAAATCAATCACAATAATACCAATCTCAAAATAAATTTGGTATTTCAATATTACAATATTTTACTATCTCAATCAATAATACGAATATGAAACTAATTAACTTTGCAAATAATAATCAAATATGTAAATAAATAATGGTTTGAACAGACCTAATTTCGGAGCATTTTATATAGTGTTGGTTTGTACGTTTAAGTTAACTTCAGGATTGAAATTTTTGGTTATGAGAATTTGGGGTGAGAAAAGTCTTAAAAAAACTAATCAAACTCATCATTGATTGGATTTAATCAAGTCTCCATTGAACTGATTCATTATAGGTTCCCATTTAGTGCAAAGAGACTAGCCAAAGGGTCATGACTTCGTCTAGAGCTAGGACATGGATGAGGAGAATGGAGGAGATGGTGATATATCAATTTATTGTCATTGGTAAATCTTAAATTCGATGGATTGGAGGTTGAGAAACGACTAATGAGAGTGTATGTTTTTTGGTTCATGAAAATAACAATATATTGAGTGAGAGACGAGAGTGACTTAAATTGGAGAGCTGTCTCGCTAAAACACAACATCAAACTACGACCAAGTATAATCGTGGAATGAAAATGCAGAATAATGAGTAAGTTTTACTTATATATAGTAATTCTACGCCTGGTCCACGTCCTAAATTATTACTGATTGTTCACGTAGTGAATTATATTGGTACAAGTGATGAACGGAAATGGTAGTGCGAGTTGTGTTGAGAAATGCGAATAGTTGGTAAAAGCTAAAGGAAAGTCCTTGAAAAAATGTAAGTGAAATTAATTCAGATGAATTCTTCAATCAGACTTAATTGACCAAGTTAACGGAAAGTTCCAATCAATTGGATTGATTTTCCATATTGAAGTAGTCTTTCATGATCAGAACAATTACCCGTACTAACGGAAGGTTTCAATCAATCGGATTAATTTTTGGTATTGAAGGAAACTTTTATCAATGGGGTGAATTGTCTCTATTAAAGGAAGGTTTAATAAAAGTTGTCTTTGACATATCAGCCCCAGCAGTTCACGGCGGTGGTAGGGATTCTTTGGAGGATATGGCGGTCCCGTAATTGGGTTGTCTTTGAGGGCAAGCAATTTGGCATCCCGGCTCTTTTGAGGCAATTTTATCAACAGTATCAGGAATGGGTCTCTCTTCCGGATGGTCAGATTCCCAGCTCTGATGCAATCACTAGGCCTGTGAGGGCGGTCAGCTCCTCCCACTCTGTAATTTGTATGTGGGATGGGGCAACGAGCCCTGGGTCTCATTCGGCTGGGGGAATTGTGATTAAAGATCCCACTGGGGGCATTCTTTCGGTCCGTGGACTGCAGTTCCCTGATACGGATGATCCTCTGGTGGTAGAATTGTTGGTCCTTCGTGAGGCGGTGAGCTGGTGTCTGGAGCTAGGATTTCTGTCGACTTGTTTCCAGGGAGATGCCCAGGTGTTAATTGATAAGATCAATCGGCGGGATGCGCGAGATAGCAGGGTGGGGGCGGTGCTGGCAGAGCTAATCAGAACGTTATCATTCCACGCTGAGCTTAGTGTTCGATCTGTAGGACGGAGTAGCAATAGGGTAGCCCATCTGGTGGCTCGAAAAGCCCTTAATTTGTACCCGACTACGAGTCATTCTTTTGATTTCCAGGCCTGGCTGTTCTCCAGGATGTAACTTCCTTTGGATCTTTGTGTTCTAATGAATATCTTTTGTCAAAAAAAAAAAAAATCATAAGTTATTACTTTTGATTTCCTTAAGAAGATTCTTGATTCGGATCTAAATGCACACATTTTACCCCTCATTTCTTGATAGTTTGACTTTGCATTTCATCGTCTCTCGACCTATTTTACGCTAGGGGGTACTTGTTTTGTCATATTTCAAGTCATATCTCTTGTGGGAAGGTCGAGGATGAGTTTCGGGTCGATTGGAGGTCGAAAAGCACGAAGAAGTGAAGAAAAGTCCAAAGAGACCGTGACAATTGCCCCGAGACCGTGAAGTGCGGAGGTTCCAGAGAAGTTTTTGGTCTCACTGGATTCAAGCCAGTTCACGGTCATAAGACTGTGAACTCAAGCCAATGACCTTGAACTGAGTTAGTAAAGCGGCGCGTTTTGGCCCGAGATCACGGTCCCCGCCTTGAGTTCACAGTCGTGAACTGGGACCGTGATCTGAGCCTGATCTGGGTATAAAAACGGAAGTGAGTTGAAGGAGAAATGGGTCTTTTTCTAGGGTTTTAGTTTCATAATAAAGGAGGGTTTCTAGTGAGAGATTAGAGCTGACTCCACCACACTCGGCCTCTGGGGCAGTTTCTTAGCCAGTTCCTCGCTGATGAAGTTGAGGGTCGCACCGCTGTCCACCAAGGTCAGCGCTGTGGTGTTGGCTATCTCTGCTCGGAAACGGAGGGTTCCCGGTGTAGGCAGGCCGGTAACCGAATGGAGCGAGACCACCGGAGCAGCCTGAGGCAGCCTGCTGCCCCCGTCCCCCGCCGTCGCGGAGCCCCGAGGCCGGCGAGCCGCCGGGGGCGAGCGCCGCCCCGACGCGCGTCGCGCCGCCAGCTGCGGCCGCGACAGCGGCCTCCTCGATCGGCGGGTCTTCGCGCGGCAGCGCCCCGAGCGCCCGCTCTCCCGCCGCCACCTGCTGCGGCCGCGCCGCCGCCGCCTGCCAGCCCTTCGCGCGAGCCGTTGCGGCTTGGTCGGCGCAAATAGCATCAAGGGTCCGTAAGATACAGATCCACACTGGATCAGAGAGCCACGATGAGCTCATTCGAGGCTTTGATACCAATTGATAGAGAAGAATTGGGTTGAGAATTGAGAAGAAGAATTAGGGATTTGGGGGAGAATTGGGGAAGAACAGAGAGAAGAGGGATTTAGGGATTTTGATATTATTATTGCTTAATCTCAAATGAATGTACTCAACCCTATTTTATGTGTTTCAGAAAACTAACACGAAATAACAAAAATGCCATCAACCCGGCCCAAACGGTCAAACCCAACCCGACCCCTACCCACCGCGCGGGTCTCTATCAAAATATAATAATAAAATTGACAGCAAATAGTAATATTTTTGCGGCAAATAGTATGCACTTAATAATATGATATATTTTATTGGTAATATATCGGTATAGTATTAGTATGGACCAAAACCAAGGCAGAACAAACCTTTCTTACATGTGGACCATACCAACTTGACTAGCAGTCGATGATTTTAAGCTCCGCTATCTAGTACATTAATATGGTGCATGGGTTTCAAGAGGCGGCAATACTTCAATTGTTCTCATGCTGGAACTTGAGAACATTCAGGATGGAAGCAACCTAAATAGTCAATGATTTTGTGTGTTTCGAGCAACTTCTTTCTCTTCTTTTATGGGTTTGCTATAACATGAATTTTCATAACTCTACTTCCAGTACTTCCAAAAGTAGCAGTCTAATCAAATGGTTACTGCTCTCGTTTAAACATGGGATGGCTCAGGCGCAGCACAGCTTCTATTTGTTTGTTTCCCCGTTTGTGTTCTTGTCGTAGTCCCTCCTCCCCAATTGCTGAGCACAATAGGTAAAGCAATCCACTCCAAACATGCTTTAAGTAATCTGAAATCTCTAGCTGGAAAACTTGGCAATCAACTTGTCGACGTGGATGATGATGTCATCAATGCGAGGGCGAACTGCTGCTTGCGGCTGAAGCATCCACGTCACAAACTGGTGCAGAGCTTCTGGATATGGAGGCTTAGATCCAGCTGGCCACTTTATCTGTGCATTTAGGACTGCCAGTTGTAGGCTCCCCCCAGACTCTCCAAGAGCATACTCAAATGGAGATACACCATACCTGTATGTATGGATCAGCCATATATTGAGAACGTCAAAGCAAACAAGGCAGGTAACTAACTGCAAGGTCTGAGACATCAATGACATCTGAACTACAATTTTTAACATATTACGGCAAACTTTATCAACCACAGGCACAACCTAAGCGACGTTTCTGGGGATTTAAATGGTAAAATAGTAAGACATTGATCTCACATGGTTGCATAAAGTGTGCATCCCAAAGACCAAACATCGGTCCTCTCATCAATATCTGCGTGACTTGGGCAATCCCAAAACTCAGGAGCTCTAAAAGGTGCTGAACAATGCTCCGCTGTCCATTCCTAATAGCAACACGGACAAGGGGAGCCACAAGCATACGTTTAAAATCATAGATGAGTAAGATCAGCAACAAATATACATAGAAGACGCAGACAATAAGGAATTCCAAAAGTATTTGCACCTGCACGAGTATGCAGGCAAACGAAATCACCATGCAGATCTAGAGATTGACAACTTGAACAATATTTGTACCAAAAATTGAAAATAATGAATAGGTATAGAGATTGTAAGCAGAAGATTGCCAAAAATTGAAAATAATGACTATGTACCTGCAGTTGTAGTGCCTCTGTTCTTGAACGAATTTGCTTTCTTGCAGGTCGAGCACTGCCAAAATCCATCAATATGGCAAGAGGTGACTGCCCTTTCCTATGTGTTACAAGGACATTTCCGGGTTTCACATCATTGTGTGCATATGGAGGCTCAAGACTATGCATGTGCTTCAATCCTGCACAAAGCTGTGGTACTTTTTTTCTCAGTGAATAATATAGTTACAGACCAAAAAAATCCGTACCTTGTATCTACCGAAGTGGTCAGAGACAAAGAACTGAAAACTTGAGAGGAAAGGAAAAAGTGAATGCAAGAAGCAAAAAGAGGAACAAAGTTTGACAAGTGGCCTTCATCACCGAGCTTTGACTAGCTAAATTATGGTCACAACCAAGCAATAAGAACAGCTCTGACCAAACAATGTATCAGGCTTCATAAAATTATGTGAATTTTGGGTCATGCATATATAGATTTTAGCCGTATGGAGCAATTAAACCTGGATGGAGAACACATACAGTTTCAAGTAATAACACAGCAAAAAGAAGCAATGAGTCTAGATGTCAGTCACCTGCCGAAATATCTGAAGAACATCCGAGGTTGAGAAGAACTCTTTCTTCGCCATCATTGCTTTTGAATTGTCCAGCAAGGTTCCATCCAAGTGCACTGGAAACAGTAAATATGCTTCGTGGTTCCAGGATGATTCTTGTGTAGTCTAAGTAAACGTTGAAGGGTAAATTGATTTTGCATGATAATAGGGGAAGATGCAGAAAAACTTCCTAAGGACAAAAAGATTCCGGGCGCAAACAAGACATAATAGAGTACGTAGCAACCTACTGAGAATCAGGCATCTGTTTGAAGGCCCCATTGCATGTATAGCAGAAAACAATGTGCCAGTTGATGGCAAATTCTTAACCAAGCCCTGCTAGCTACACATATTTAGAACCCTTTTTACCTTCCATCCAAGAGTGGCTTCCAACTATACTCCAGCATGGAGTATTGCCCATTTGGAAGAGTAGATGTTCCTCTAGGATGAACAGGAAACAATAACAAAAGCAAACTTCCAACTCGAGCCAATAGGAAAGGACAATAATGGATGAAGACCAACCAGAGAGAGATGGTTGGCTTGTGCTTTGAGTCATCAACAGTGAATACCAGTTCAAAACAGCATGATAATGCCTCCATTACCTAAAAACTCTCACTCAGGGATTCGATCAATTATTCAAGAGGCAAAATGTTTTTACTTCATCTGTTATGTTACCTTTGAGGATCAGCTGTATAGTTAGTAGATGATTAACATACTTCAGATTAACACCGATTAGACATCATGTTTTGTTATTTATTTTTCTCCCTTTTAAATACCTAAAAGAGGATGGTATACTGGAAATTACATGTCACAAGGAAACCACTGCAATCTGGGGAGTGATTCCAGCACAATAACGATAGGGAACAAACAAACAAACAAACAAAAGAAAATGCCAAAGGACAGCACAGACTTTCTCTCAGGCTAGGTTGACTTGGTGTTTTGCCAACCACATTTCTAGGCTCTGAAAAAGGTGCAGATCATTAACGGACAAACTCACACACACATACAGAGGATTGTGTCAATTACCTTAACCGCAATGATAGCATGATCCAGAAGAGGAAGAAGATTTGGGTGGCTAAACAATGAGGAAACACGAATCTCTTCCCGCACCAATTCCAGCTGCTCATTGTTCTGAATAAGAACCTTCTTCATTGCATAAGTTCCATCTTCTGCATTCAGATTAACACTCTTACTCAAGTCCTGAAAACCAGTGCTCACCACAAATCACGCACATCTATAAGGTGATCCAGACATGTATTAGTGTTCGATGCCAAAGACTAGCCTTGATTTGAATTCCTATCCCCAGATCGCAATCGGCACAAAGTTTCCGTTTTACCCAACGTACAAAGGACCCTCTTAAAGAATATATCCATACGACTCGCAAACAATAGTAACAACTAATAAAAACTCTGATATCTTTCATGGAACTTCCAAATCCGAAAGCTCAGCTTGGCATAGAGGTGAAATCCTCAAAACACCACCGGCATAATCAGAACACCGAGCAACTAACGTAGTTAACGATCTGTACTGAATGTTGATTCAACATCCACCGACAAACTTAAAACTGCAATTCGCCTGCCGCGGATCACATAGCTCATTATATGTTAGACGACGAGATTCAAACAGTAACCGCACCCAGATCAGAAACACGACCCATACGAAATCAGAAGCGCGAAAAAAGAAAAGGAAAGGAGGGAGGGAGGGAGTGAGGGGTATTCACCGGAAAGATGAGATTTATCCTTGACTTTGGTGGTGAGACCAGTGCCGGGGCCTGAGGAATTGTCGGCGGGCACCTCTTTGACCAAGAAAACAAAGGCGAAGCCACCTTCTCCGAGCTGCCTAAGGATTCTGAAACGGTTCTCGTTGATCCAGACATCTCCACCACCGTTCACGGCGTCATAGAGGGTATTCAGCCCCGAGAAAGTACAGCCCATGATGACTTTCTTCCCCTTGCTCCTGAGAATGTGTCTGCGGAAGAAAGAACAACAAAATTGAGCAGTGGGCAGGGGATAGATCCCTTTTACAAACGCTGTTTGGGGCTAATTATCGGTGACAAAACTATTCTTGTTACAAACCTTTAATTTTAAAGATTTGTTATTAATTGTCCTACTTTTTATTAATCATCATCCAAAACATGATGTAAAAAGTCATAAATGTCCTTAATAAATATCATATTCTTGTTATAAGAATATGATATTTATGTTGTAAAAAAAAATGATATTTATGTTATGAGAATATGAAATTATTATATAAATATTGATATATGAATGACCAATGACCTACCACATTAGATGCTCACTTGAGAGTTACACGTAATCCCTATTTCTACATTATTATCTCTCATTCATATGTAGCCAAAAATCGATGGCTAATATCATTGATCCTCTTGTTTGGAAAGGAATGTGGGCACTCGACGTCCCGCCAAAGCTCAAGTTCTTTATATGGCAATGTTTGAAGTTATTTTGCCAATTATGACGGCTCTTAGGTCCCGGGGAATTAACTGTCAAGCTTGTTGTCCAGTTTGTTGGGATAGTCAAGAGAGTATTGAACACCTCTCCTTTCATTGTCCACTTGCTTTTCACCTCTGGAATATGGTGGGACTAAGTAGCTTACTTCTCTCCGTCCCGACTGAAAACTTTGGGATCTGGTGGCGATATGTTATGAACTCGGAAAGCTTCCAAATCCACTATCTCCCCTGCATTTGCCTTCTTCGGAGAATTTGGAAATCTAGAAATAAAGTGGTTTTTGAATTCACTCAACCACTAGCCAGTTCTCTTTCCCGTCAATTCTTCTTCCAAGTTCAAGAATACTCCTCAGTCTCCCCCCACCCCCAGTTCATTCCTCCTCGCTTGCTGCCCTCTCGTCCTTCCAGTTGGGTTGGTCCTCCCGAAGGTTTTCTCAAGATCAATTTCGACGCTGCTGTTCAAGATGCGGGTTGCTGGTCAGGCCTCGTAGTTCGAGGTCCGGATGGGCAAGTCTTCTTGGCCTTGGGGTTCCTTCATCCAGGAATTTCGAATCCTTGTCTTGCAGAGCTGCTGGTTGCCAAGGACGCCATCGCTTTAGTGCTTTCTCGCGGTATTCCTCTCGTCATCATTGAAGGTGATTCAGAAGTAGTTATTTGGCAACTTGAAGGCAGATGCTTTGAAGACTCGATGGGCGGGCCCTTACTTCGTGATTGTTTTCAGTTGTTGAGTTCATGTTCTTCTTGTATTCTTTTTAGCTCGGTCCCGAGGACTGTCAACTGGGCTGCCCATAGAGTGGCAAGACAAGCAGCGACGGATCCAGGATATAATAGAGCACTAGGTCGCATTTTGAATAGAATACTAGATATTGTAAATAAAAAATTTCGGGTAAACAAAATTTATTAGCTAACCTTTTCGAAGTTTTTGAATTATTAGCCAAACTTTCAAAATACAAAGTATAAGTCAAATGTTAACTTACTGTTAGCAGTTTTGTTAGTAATATTGACTTGGCAACATGATACTGACTTGGAAGAGACACGTGGTAGCCAATATTCTAAAATATTAGTATTTCAATTAAGAAAATAGTTTCAAAAGTACCAACGATAACAAACAATGGCTAATATTTTGATGCGTTGCAAAAGATTTGGCTACTATCTTGTATTTGGAAAGTTTTGGCTTATAATTTGGAAAGCTTGAAATGTTTGGCTAATAAATTGTAGTTTTCGTTCATTACAAATGCCAATTGTACTAGAAGGCTTTTTAACTTGACAACTCAATCAATAATATAATTGTATGCTAAATTGAGTGTAGTTGATTGGATATGTTCATCTAGATTATTTTCCTAGCTACACAAAATCCTATTATCAAATAACACTCGTCAACTTTTAAATAGCACTGGGCCAAATATCTAAAATCGAAAAATTTATAAGCGTTGTACAATCTATACTAGCTCTGGATTCGGAAGAGGGTTGGGCCGTGGCCCGGGTTGGCCCAGCCCTAGATCCGCCAATGAAGACAAGCCCTGATGTCTTCTTTTTTTTGGGTGGAAATTGAAGAATCCAAGGGCAAAGAAAGAAGTGGACATGGTAACAAGAAGATTGGTTTTGTATGTTACCATTGTAATGGAAAATTGCATTTGTCTCGTACCCGTTGTAAGCAAAATACCTTATTCTACCAAGAATCAAAGGGAAAAGCTAATTCATATACGCTCCTGCAATATCAATATTATGGAACATATTTTTTGTATTATAAGTTGGTATATTCTCCATTAAAGAAAATGATATCACTTGAGAAATTTTCATTTCCAGAAGTGAATGAAATAATCTATTCTCCGAAGTGAATGGAGCTATAAACATAATTATATATATGTTAAATGTATTGTTTGGATCTTTTCACCAGAAGTGAGAAAAGAGGAGTAAAAGGAGAACTATAAATAAGGATGACACCACAATTGCATTATCAAAGTCATGATAACATAATGTACCTGTTGTACATAATAATGTATAATGAAATGCATATATAAATTTAAAATCACCTAGTTAATGATGGTATTGTTCCAAATAAATCTTATTTAATTTTCACAATTGTAGTATTATGATTCTTATTTCTTTTATGTTTTATTGTGACGTTATTTTTCATGCATAATTTAATTTGATAACCTTTATCTAGAACAATTAACCTGATAAATTCATCATTTTTGTCTTAAGTTTGAAATATTCTCATTTATTACTTTCATTATGTTTTTATAAAGTATGAGTATTAGAAAAATTCCATATAAACTATATGGTAGAGTACATAAATAAGAAAAAGCTTCCGAAGAGCTTATGTTTGGTTACTTGAAGTAACTAAATTATGTACTCATGATAACTATTTGTGATGATATTCACTATGAATTTGTGTTTACTAAGAATGCATCAAATCATAAGTCCCAGGAAGGGTGGAATATGGTACAAAATATGGTAAAGCTTTAAAGGAGGTAATTTTGTGGCCCGAAGGAACCAAACTACCTAGTGATGATGCATTACTCAATTAAAAGGATATTCGTAAAATGAATATCTTATCAAGAAAATAGTGAAACTAATATTTGCATCACAAATTTGTACTACATGTATATTAGTACAATCAGTACACATAAAAGTGTAAACCAGAAGTTTACAAGATTTGATAACTTGATAATTGGTTGGTCCGGTTAGACCATCCCGGATCTTGATGTGAAAAAAGTTCTTTGAGAATTCATGAGAACATCATATGAGAAGTCAAAGAACTCTTCAACTAAAAGAGTTATTATGTCATGTTTGTTCTCAAGGAGAATAGAACAATTGATCATCGCTTGTATAAGAGTTGGCAAATCTCTTGAGATTTTATGGACGTGTATGCAGAACAATACATTAGTCATGTGGATCATTTGTGAATTTTATGGGTTGCTGCATCAAATGGATGATCACTTTTATTTTATCTAATCGCAACCCGATGTTTGCGAGATTGATTGCCTCACTATGGATACATTTTGATGGTTATCCAATAAAACATCACTTTGCTTAAGAGAACAAACTGAACAATCTGGTCTCTTGTCGAGGACATGCTAGCTGGCAAGTGATAGTATTGGTTCACATCTAACCAACCAGTTATCATAAGTTGCCCCTTTTACAAATGATTTTGGTAAAAAACCTAACATTTCTCATATGAGAATATCAGGTTTATCGCATACATCCCAATTGCTCCACCACAGTATCTTAAGTTGATTCTCGTTGGAAATCGAGAATTTGTGTTTTTTCTTTGTTTGCAAGGGTTCCAACCTGTAATTTCCTAAAAACGTGGCTACCACCTAGCAAAGGTTTTGAGGGAGCGCGGATCTTACCGACCATGCCGGGAGCAGATGTCTCAAGCAAGTCTCATCCGGGGGGAGGTGAGTAAGGGGGCTGGAGGTAGTAGGTGGAAATTGAGAACGGATTCCCGTCTCCCCTTACACACACTTTCACCGATTGCCACATGGGGGACATTTGGAGACATTATTTTGAAAGCACAGTTTAGAGTGCCTTTTTTCAAAACATGATACAAGAGTCCATGATACGTAGAGAGTCATCGATACCACACGATTTCAATGTCCTAAGATCACTAATTTTCACAATCAACCATTACAATATGAAGAAGAAAGGAAACATCTTAATGCATCAACATCCTCCATAGTGCTACAATTACCTCCCTAGGTTGCATAGTACTATAAAGACTGTCAATTCAAAGCATACCGAGCAGGCAATTGCACGAAACACGTACTTGGAGCCCTCAAATTAAAGATTTGGACAGTGGACTAGGCTCTAAATACATAAACACATATATACAGTCAAATAGAAACACCTTCGCACTTAAGATCGACATTACCCTCAATGGAGAAGAGAGAAGGATAAGGGGGAATGATGTTACCGAATAAATGGATTGCAATAGGACTGAAAAGTGGACCAGTCAATAAGGAAGATTGGAAGTGGGACTAGTCGTGGCAAGAACAAGGGCTAAGACAAAACATCCACTCGAACACAAAATCCTTATGAAGAATTGTCAGCCCAATGGCACAATATCCGAAAGAAAAAAAAATGAAACACAAAAAATCCAGTTTACACTCCTCCCAAAACAACACATACACCAAACAAACACTAGAATAAACAGAGAGAGGGAGCCAGCGAGTACAACCTACTCGATGTGATCGAAATCGATGTGGTCCATGATGTCATCAATATCCCCCTGTGGTGGAGGCGATAGAGGTGGTAGGGAGGCCTCCCTTGGGGTAGTCTAGTGGTGCTCTTAGTAGATTGACTGGAGGATGTGCTCCCGGTACTCCATCAGCCGACAGCTGCGGCCACACTCCCGCTCGATATGAGCTTGGAGCACGCCCTGTTCGGACTCAAGGCGACCCATGCGGGAGTCAAGCTGAGTTAGGAGCTGATGGTTCTGGAGATGGGGTTGTTGGAACTAGTCAGTGAAGAACTCCATCGACGGAACAGAAGGACCAGAGGAGGACTCGCCTCACTCAGGTCTCCGTCGTGGAGGAAGATCCCTTGGCGGGGACAGCCGAGGGTCCATCTCATTGGCAGCCATAGCTTTACCATCATAATCATCGTCATTCTCCTCCGTGTCCTTGTCTTTCTCATTATAGTCTTCATCATCCTCGTCATCCTCATCAGCATTAGGGGGAAGGGAGAGACCGTCAACCCACTCCCTACCATCAACAACAGTCAACAAAAAGGCGCTACGAAGGACGTCCCTACCGACGGGGTGCGATTCGTGGCAGACAGTGGTGTCGATCAGGCCTCGTAGATCCACTACAAAGTGGCAAGACAAAATAGTTATCAGGGGACCACAGAAGAGGTGGGTGGTCTTCTCGTGGCACTTAAGAAATGTCCCCGCCAGAAGAGAACCCAGATGAAGCTTGTGGCCCCCATTCCTCATGGTGTACATGACATAGAGCACACGCTCTGTGAGCTTGTGTGAATCGGTGGCGTTGGGGATGACCCACCCACCATCTGCTATCACCCACTACGATACATATGGGTGGGTATGGGTCACTTTTTCGTCATCCACCATAACAATGGTTGGGTGGATTTTGCCCAAAACCCCACACAATCCACCCATTATCCATCCCTAATAATTCGTGAGCAAAATAATCGATAAAAAAGTTGTCCGCTTGACCTACCAATAGATATCACAGAATCAAACTCTGCAATTAGCATATGACAATGGGTGATCATCAACAGAATGAATCGGGTAAAAGGCTACCTAGGAATGGGTTTGTAGATAAAATTTTGTAATGGTCGACATGACATGAGCTTCCGAGGGCTAGAATGAGGAAATGATAAGCCACACTGCACAAGGAGAATAGAAAAGAGAACCAAACTAATGGGAACAAAAAAAAAAAAACGTTTCTTATATTTTAATTTTTGGTATGAACGTGCAGTAGTATTATGATAAGGAACAGTGGAACACCCATTAAAAGGTTGGTGGAATGGAAGGAAAGAGGGTAGTGGGGGAGGTTGTTGGTGAAGGAAGCTCACCAAACTTGACAAAAATGTCTTTAACCACTAACACAACTAATATTAATATTTCGTATCACTCGACGGAGATGGACAACCTTATTATTCCTCCTGCTGGCTTCTTCTATCATTTCTCTTCTTTTACTAATATATGTGATGGATGGTTCGTCACAACATATCTCCATATATACTCTACTTTATTAATAAGGAGATATATATACGGCAGTAACTGGCAAACAATTTTGTATCCTTTTCCCTGAGATTATGTTCATAAGATTCGTAATCATCAAATGGTACATTAAGCTTACTGCACGCTTTATGATGAGCATTTTTCGTAAATAAATTGCACGTCTCGGCCAGATCGCAAACTGCAAGGCAAAATCTCTCTATATTTCAATGATCGATTCCTCGCAACTAGAGTTATTCACAGCTTGGGGGTATAATGAGAATTTCCATGATTCATTGTCATGGATAGTTAAGAATAATACAATGTTTTCGAGTTATTCGAATAATACAGAGCAGAGCAGGCAGGACAATGAAAGGGGGGAAAAGGGAAACACAAAGGGTGAAATGAAGTAATAATTCCCGGGCCGGGAAAGATGCAGGATTAGGGGATCCGACGGTAGAGAGTGATCCCATCGCCAACGGGGAGCATGCAGATCTCGATCCTAGGGTCAGCAGCGAGGGCCTTGTTGAGCTCCATGACGAAGTCGCGGTAGTACCTGACGTACTTCCTCATGGGAGCATCAGCCGGCTGGGCCACAGATCCGTTCCACAGGGTGTTGTCGTAGCCGATCACCCCACCCACCTTCACCAGGTCGATCAGCCTCTTGTGGTAGTTGATGTAGTTGTCCTTGTCCGCGTCCACGAAGATGAAGTCGTAGCTCCCATGGTTCGCTTTCTGCACATACATAACACACACTGACACACAATGTTCAAATTTCGAATCGAGATGTGATATCCTTCTGTCTTGAAGATAATTGAAAACAGAGTTGCCCCTGATTCGCACAAGTTCATGCGAAAGCGATCCCGGGACTTGAGGCCAAGCTGGCAATGGTTTCCACAAAACCAAAAGGGTTTCTAATTGGGGGGAAAGGAAATTAACTTACATCTTCAAGCATCTGGTCAAGAACGGGGAGGGCAGGGCCTTCTCTGAACTCGATCTTGTGAGCAACGTCGGCTTTCTCGATCACGGGCAGCCCCAGCTCGTAGTTCTCCCTGTTGATATCCATCGCCAAGATCTGCGCAGCAGTGACGCCAAACAACCAGTCAGTCAACACCCACTAGAAAATTTTCATTGCAAAATAGGGATCGCCCGGCCGGGGAAAGAATCGAATCGAATCACAATCAGGACCTTGCCGTCGTCGGGAAGGGCGAGGGCGGTGGCGAGGAGGGAGTATCCGGTGTAGACGCCGATCTCCATGGTGTTCTTGGCATAGATCAGCTTCAACAGCATGCTCAAGAATTGGCCTTCGTCGGCGAACGTCGTCATCAGATTCCATGGATGCTTGCGGTGATGTCCCTCTGCTCCTTCATGGCTTTTGGCTCTCTAGGGTAAACACTCGTCTCCAGAATGTACTGTCATAGCGGAAGGGAGACAAAGAAACACACCAATCCAATTGATGAGTGTTATTATTATTTAAATTTGAAATCATCGGAAAGGAATTAGCTAGAACTAGGATTTTTGTTTTTTGGAATTAGGGGTAACTAACCTGGTAAAGGGCGTCGCTCTGGAGGAGACTCTTGTGGCCGACTTCTGAGTGCCGACTGATGGTGCTGCTCTACTGCTCTTCCGCCATTGGTTTGGGGATTTTGTTTTCCCGTGTGATTGGATGGAACTTTTCGGGGAGGAATTGGAATGACCAAGAAGTGAGATGAGAGGCTGTTTGGAAAGTTTTGGGAAAGTAATCGACCCATATATAATAGAGGGAGGGAGGGGACTTTTTGAACCGGTGGGGGGTTGGACCAGGATGATGTCCAGTCGGGAGTTGGTGAAGCCAATTGGTTCGGTGGGCGGTGTGTTGGACTGTTGGTTATTTGGATATTCGGACTTTGTGGGATGCGGGACCCACGGGGTTAGGTTTTTCTCCTTTTGCTGACTTTCAAAAGCGACGCCTACGTCAAATAAAAATATAAAATAAACTTAAATAAAATAGAGAAATTTAAAAGATTACTTATGTTAAAAAATAAATATATAAGCCACTTTGTAGTTGCCAAGTCCACAAAGAATTGATCATACTAAATACTAATAATCTTGGGGAGCTTTAGTTTAGAGAACTGATTATTCTGTTAATTCCATATATTAACACTAATTGTCTGAAGAACATATAACTAATATCTTAAGTGGGTGGGGTTGTTGAATCTGTAATCCGGATCCATAAGCTGAATTAGCAAGCTATTTTAATTATCCTAGATGGACGGGACTTCATTTGTTTATTTGGAAATGGTTGTTGGATTGCGTTTCCTTGTTATTTCGTATAAGTAGTCAGACCAAACTTGGGCTTTTATACTCTTTCGTATAACCTCTACTTTTTTTTTTGGGTAGAAGACAGACATAATGCGTCCTAGATCATATCATTAACATCACAACACATGAAAACACCTATGTTGTTGTGTAAAAGCCAATAACACAAGTTCGGGTCGCTCACATCGAATAGATGTGTGCCAAAAGAAAGGAAGTGTCTCGCAGAAGCTAAGTAATCAGCTACAAAATTACCCTCCCGAAAGACATGGTTAATTTCCACAACCCATTCCCTAGCAAGAATGCTCTCAAAGAGCTTAGCAATGTGACCATGACAATGATCACTATTACCTCTAGTTCTAATGATAGCTAAAGCAGTGGTGGAATCAATATTGAGTTCCACTCTTCTGAAACCAAGCTGTCATGCCATTTCCAACCCTTCTGCAGCCCCTTTCAGTTCAGCTCGAGTGATAGTGCACCTCCCAAGATTGCAGGCAAACGCTCGCAAACATCGTCCTAGGTAGTCTCGCACAAACCCCCTGCAGCAGCATGACCAGAAGGTTAGGCAACAGATCCATCAGATTGTACCTGAACCCAACCTTCTTTTGGAGGTTTCCAGGAAATCTCGAGTCTGGTTTTTGTCATGTTGCCAGGTGCAAGACACTTTTCAGAGATGGAATGAGCTTGATTGTTGAGGTTGATCCAGGCAAAGCAGTTAAAATCGGGATTTTACGTAAAATCGAAAACTGGGGTAAAATCGGAATCGTAAAATCGAATCGTAGGATTTTAAGTACCATATAGAAATTAACATATATTAATATTAATAAGGTAAATAATTAATAACACAAAGACTTATAACATTTAAAGTGATAATTTTCAATATTAATGTTCCAAAATCATCATTTTAATTGTTATTTAATGCATAACTCAAAATAATCTATGAGGAAGGGATAGAGCTCATGGGGTTTGGCTCTTGTTTTTCATGCTGTGTCTAGGTAGTTTAACTCAAAGTAGTATTCCGACATCGTCTACTAAGCATGATTTAAAACTAAGAATAAGTGAACTCTAAAAAATAATTAATGTCATTGGTTTGGTACAAATATATTCATTAATCAAATAATTTGTTAATAATGATGTTAATTCTTACGTGCTTACAATATTATGACAATTGTTTTACCGATGAGTTAAACAAGAAGAAGGGAAAGGGGTTGACCGAACCCTAATTAGTTTTTTTTTTCTTTTCAAATGTTCTTTTAATAGGAAACATATATGTGAAGATCCCCGTCATTGCCCTTTCTACCGAAACAGTTCTGCTTCTTTTGAATTGGCTCAAGCTCCCTATTTTGTTCACATAGGATCAAAATCCCAATTTTGGTACGATTTTACGATTTTAACGATTTTTATCCCGATTTTGAACGATTTTAAGGTCCACCAATTTTATAGTAAAATCAGGATCGGAATCCCTAAGTAAAATCCTACGATTTACGATCAAAATCCCGATTTTGACTGCATTGGATCCAGGCAATCACCCGCTGGATTAGGCCATCTTCCGAATAAGTCTTGTCCTCCATAACTTCTTCATTTCGTTGTTTCCACAAGTTCCATCATATTATCCCAAAATCAATCCCTGTCTCTTGATCCATCATGTTCTTGATCAGCCACGTTTGAAAGTCAATGTCGTTGTCATTCACCTTGAGTTTGTCCTTGAAGTGCCTCCACAGGCCTGCAGTTTTTCCACACTTTCTGAGGATATGCTCCGTTGTTTCTTCTGTAGATATGCAGAACTTGCACATTCCATCCTCAGTTAGCTTTCGTTTCACTCTTTTCTTGTTGGTTAGCAGTCTGTTGTGGCTTGCCAGCCACATGAAGTGCTTGATGCGGCTCGGACCCTTCCACTTCCATGGATCTCTCCATACGTCGATTGGTGAGCTGTCCACCTCCCCTGCTACCAGAGAGTAGGCTGATTTGAGCTTGAATCTTCCATCCTTCTCAATGCCCCAGACAGTTCGATCCTCTCCCAGCTCAGAGTTTGGCGCATCAGTTCTTGCAATAAGCGAGATCATCTCATCAGGGAGGTACATTCTCATTCTGTTCCAATCCCACTCACCTGACTCATTGAACCAGCTTGAGACTGAAGCACTCAGTTCCTCTTCAGTGAGCTCTTTCAAGGCGAAATCTTCCATGATCAGGCCATTTTCCACCCAAGGATGAGTCCAGAATCTAGTAGTCTCCCCGTTCCTGACACTCCATAGTGTGGCCTGTTTCATGAAAGGCAAGGCTTTGACAATTCCCTTCCATTAGGTGCGCATAATTTGTGATGTAATAACAAGTCTTTCCATAAACCTATCACACAATGTTTATTTTGAAATAATCTCATTAAATAGTGTTCTTAACTTTAGAAAAATCAAATATATTATGCTAAAAATATCGTTTGGTATAAATGAATTCTATAAGTTTTTAGGAATTTATTTTGAAATGAAATCTTTTTGTGTTTGCTATTCAAAAGAATTCATTTTCAATTTTAAATTTTGAATTCTACGGAATAGGAGCTAATTATAGCAATTCCACGGAATTGAGATGAAATTTGCAAATGAATTCCACAAGTTTTTTTACTAATTATAATAGAATGACATAATTATCCCTATTTATTAAGTAAACTACTCCTAATATGAAGCCAATACACAAATTATGCGCACCTAACTCTCCTCTTCCCACAACTATATATATTATAGTTTATATGTTATATGTTATGATGATCCATGTTGTATGAGGAGCATCAAGAATAATTTGATTGCAACGTTAGTAGCATATGCTAGTTATTATATATATTTGCTTCGATTGTATCAGTATGTTGAGAAGTCACAATTGGAGTGTAGGGTTCATGGACAAAATATTAGAAAATAACTAATGAATAGAGGATGAATTTTCAATGAATATGTTTTCTGTGAAAATTTAATAAGGGTGTAGTTGGAAAATTTTAATTCAATTCAATTTTGAACGCATGCCAAACATGTTTTGAGAATTCAATTCATTCTATTTCTAGAGATTAAATATGACATACCAAACACAGTAATTCATTTGATAATGAATTCTACCTAGTAATTCATTTTAAAATGAAATGAATTCTTGATTCATTTGATACCAAACAGTTTGTAAGTAATTTATATTTATGTAAATGATAATATTTACTTGTCATATATAATTAGTTTTTTTTGTTGAATTAGTTACTCTTTTTTATTAACGGCAAAAAAGAGACCATTTGCAAAGCACAAATGGCCAACTAATACAACGAAAAGGAAAGCTCGAGTTGAGCAGCCCTAAACAGCAAAAGCAAAAGGAAATAACCTCTACCCCAAGCTATTTCCACCTCAAAACTACTAGCAAACTACCAGTCCCCTACACACTCCCCAGCATTCCAAGCACCTGCAAACCTTCTAATAATACTTCATTATCATTACAGATAATCCGCAATTCAGTGGTAACTTCCCGAATTAATTCCTCTACTGTTTTCCTTGCATCACCATAAACACGTATGCATCTTTCCTTCCAAATCCCAGCGCACCATAAACACCAGATCATACTGGTCACTCTCCCCAGCTTCGGCCTCCTGCAACTGGCAATACCTGCAACAACAGTAGCTTCCCAGGAGCTACAACAGAATACCCCCATTTGCAGTGCTGAAACAACTCGATAAGAATAGCCACATGTAAAGAACAAATGCCCTCTGGTTTCCACTTCATTACCACACAACACACACAAACCATCAGTCTGCTTACCCCACTGCATCAGTTTTTGTTTGGTGACAATGCAATTCAACATGATCATCCAGGCCAAAAAACTGTTTCTGGGAATGTAATTCTTCCCCCAAATAAGCTTTGCCCAGTCCACCACCTCATATTTGACTCGCAGGGTATTCCAAACCACAGAGACTTTAAACACAAGCATAGGATTATTGTCCCAAAAGAGCTGAGTATTACTCATCAAAAGGAAAGGCTGGACCATAGGGCGTAGCTTGAGAATACGCCTCCAAGCCCAGGAACTGCTCTGACTAGCAGGCACAGTCCATATGCTTCGATCCTTAACCTTATACTGCTGGAACCAAGCCACCCAGATGGCTCCACTCTTCATTAAGAATAGCCAGATGAACCTGACTGTACAAGCCTGATTCCAGGCATTTAGCTCACGTAAACCCAAACCCCCTTCCAGACGAGGCCTTGCCATCCTCTCCCAACTCACTTTAGCACGCCCTTCTTCTCACCCATGCCAGAGAAACTTTGAAAAAACCATTTGAACTTGTTTGATCACCTTTTTAGTCAAAATAAAGATCTGCATCCAATATTGAAGAGTCCCCATCAACACTGATGTTACTAGCTGCAGCCTTCCAGCATAGCTAAGCTTCTTTGACCTCCAGGAGTGAA